AAAAAAAAAAAAAAAACTCTCAAAAAAAATATATATAGTATGATCCAGTGCAACTTATGAATAAACTACCCTTTATCCATTCTAGGCAGTACCTTCTTTGTACAAATCAAAGGTCTCATATTTTGGGTCTTTCTATGCTCTCTGCTCCTTTCTGCTGGTCTTTTGTCTATCCTTCTCCAGTAATGTACTCTTTTAATAATTATATGTGATTAATAAGTTTAGATAACTGATAAAGTATGTCTTCTTACTTATTCCTTCTCCATCAAGATTATTCTAGATTTTGTTGACCCTCTGTATTTAAATATAGTATTAGCAAAGATTTTTCCAGCAAGCCAGAACTACTAGGACAGATAGATAGATTGATTGATAGATAGATAGATAGATAGATAGATAGATAGATAGATAGATAGATAGATAGATATAGGTAGGTAGGTAGGTAGGTAGATAGATAGATGTGTGTGTACACACACACAAACTGCATCACTGAATGAAGGAGATACATTCTGAGATGTTTTGTTAGGTTATTTTGTTCTCATGTAGTCATAATAGAGTATACTTACACAAACCTACAGTTACAGCCTACTGTACACTTGGTATATGGTATAATTATATGAGACTACCATTGTATATGTGGTTCATCATTATGTTTTACAAGATTTTATATATGTGTGTGTGTACACACACACACACACACACACAAAGAGGTTTATTGGAAGAAATGGGCTTACATGACTATGGAGGCTAAAAAGTCCCAAGATCTATAGCAGCAAGCTGGAGACTCAGTAGAGTGATGATGTAGTTCTAATCTGAGATGGAAGCCCTGAGGAACAGAAGAGCTAATGGTCTGAATTCCAGTCTAAAGCCTTAAGCCTCAGGCTTAAGACCCTAGAGGAGTCAGGTTTTTCACTTTGAATCTGAAGGCTTGAGTCTCAGCCCAGCAGAGTCTCAGGCAGAAGAGTTCTCTCTTATTCAGCCTTTCAGTTTTATTCAGGTCTTCAGTTGATTGGATAAGGCCAATTACATTAGGAAGGACAACCTATGCTCCACAGTCTGTTGATTTAAATTTTACTCTCTTCCAGAACCACCATTACAGATATATCCGGATATATATATAATGTTTGGTCAGGTGGCTGGCTGCCCCAGAACCCCCTCAGTGGGACCTTTTATGTACCAACAACCACCGTAGCCCTGCCCTCCACCTGTGACCACCATCATGTCACAAGGAGTAGAAACAAGGGCTTTGTCTGTTTGTTTGTTTTTAAGAATGAGCCATGTTTAAGAAAGGGGGTCCAAGAAGCTGACCCCAACAGGCTTGCAATGTCTGGGATGAACAGAGGTTAGTCTCGGTTACTATTCACCACCACTACCATCCACAATAACTTGTTCCCATATTACCCAGCAGGGAAAACAGTATAAGTAGCCCTGACAGCACCTTCAATCCTTCACTTCTTGTGAGCTGAACAGACCCAAGCAGTAGACCCTTTAGAAATAATCTCAACTGCAAAGATGAGTTTTAATCAAGTATTAACAAATGTTTAAGGTATACCTACACCATGAGAGAGAATAGACAGATTAAACCTTAAAGAAATAGTTACTTGAGCAATCAAAAAAGAGCTTTAAGAATAATTAATATGAAAGCAAAAGAGAATGTTTCTTTTGCAGAAAAGAAATAGACAGTTATGGGGCCAGTAAGTGGCATGGTGGTTGGGACAACTGGACTCCCACATAGCTGACCATAGGTTCGAGTCCTGAACCTGGTAGCTTGCTTTCTCACTTTCCTTCTCTGTCTCTCTCTGGTCAATTTAAAATAAATAAATAAATAAATAGTGACACTAAAATTAAATAAAGGAATTCTTTAAAAAAAAGAAATAGTTAGGGCCAACAGGTGGTGTGGTGGTTAAGGGTGTTAGACTCCCACACGGCCGACCATGGTTCAAGTTTCGAACCTGTCAGCTTTCTCTCTCTCTCACTCTCTCTCTCTCTCTGTCCCTCTCTGATCAAATTTTAAAAAATAAATAAAAATGAATAAATGAATAAAGGTAAATAAAATAATTTTAAAAAAGAAATAGTTATAATAAATAAATAATTAATAATTGGTTAAAATTAAACTATACTGGTAAAGTTTCTTCAATGTTCTAAAATATTGCTACTTAGGGTTAGAGTTGGGGTAAAAAATAAAAGGGAGGGGAACATGTGCTACTTGAATTAAGGGAATGAAGAAAAAAATATACCTTCAAAATCCTTTGATAGAAAGCTATGCAAGTTATAACAATAAATGTTTGTCAAATGAATAACTTCCTTTTAATTTAAGGTGCTGCATTTTGGGATGTTATTCCTCAGAGGATTACTTTCTTGAAAAGGAAGGCATATTTCTCCTTTTGGATTTATTGGCAGTAAGTATGGTCATAACAATTTTAAGGCAAATTGTTTTAAATTTGTAACAATTTTAAAAGATAAATATGTCTTCATTAACTTTTTCTAAACTGAGTACCGCAGAACACTATTCTGTAAATAAACGTGACCCCAAATCATGGTCGAATATTGTTTTAAACAAAATAAAATGTAGGTCCATATTCCCAAACACATGTAAACAGAGAACTTCCTTTTTCTTTGTACTCCAGCCTACTGAGAAACAGCTCTTGTGAAGAGCTGGACTATATTAAAACCCATAGTCATTTATTAATAATTTCTCAATTCTTATGAAATTAAGTTAAGGTCTGGCCAGCTCTGTGGCCTAGAGGTTAAGGAAGCCAGATTCCACATGGCCTATCATGTTTCGAATCCTAGCTGGTGTGTGCTTGATTTTGGTCACACCACATATGACCAAAATCCCAACAGGATGGAGAAATGGAGGAGAAGGTAATGCAGCATGACCGCGTTCCACTGGGAGATGTTTTCTCCTTTCTGTTCTCTCTCTACCAAGTGCACACACACTCTGGCAATTAATTAAACAAATTCAGGGCCATATTAGATGAACAAAAATAGCATTTTAAAAGAACTGAGTATAGTTAGGAGGTAATGTGACCAAGTGTAGTGTATCATAAACCAG